TGAGGCGGGAGGACTGCTTGAGGCCAGGAGTTTGAGACAGCTGGGGCAACACAGCAAGACCCCATCTCTAAAGTTTTATTATTATTATATTTATTTTTTTTTTTTTTAACTACATCCAAAGTAAGCTGAAGAAAAGAAGCAATAAAAATTAGTGCAGAAAATGGGCTGGCGCTGTGGCTTACACCTGTAATCCCAGCACTTTGGAAGGCTGAGGTGGGCGGATTATCTGAGGTCAGGAGTTCAGGACCATCCTGGCCAACGCAGTGAAACCCTATCTCTACTAAAAATACAAAAATTAGCTGGGCGTAGTGGATGACACCTGTAATCCCAGCTACTCTGGAGGCTGAGGCAGTAGAATCGCTTGAACCTAGGAGGCAGAGGTTGCAGTGAGCCGAGATCCAGTAAGCCCACTCCAGCCTGGGCGATAGGGCCAGATTCCATCTCAGAAAAAAAATTAAAAATTTAGTGCAGAAATCAATGAAACTGAAAGCACGAAATCAATAGAGAAAAGGAACTAAACCAAAAGTTGATTCTTTGAAGAGATAAATAAAATAAACCCTTAGCCAGGCTCATTCTTTGAAGAGATAAATAAAATAAACCCATAGCCAGGAAAAAAGAAAAATGAAACAAATTATTAATATCAAAAACAAAAGAGGGACATCACTACTGATCACCAGTAATTCCCATCATTCCCTCTTTGCAGATCAACATGTACCTGTTGTCACGTGTCCTGTTTGCCCTGGGCCGCCTGGCTGTAGAGAAGGGCTACATCCCTGAACCCAGGTGGGACCCATTCCCGCTGCTCACCGCAGTGGTGTGGGGGCTGGTGCTCTGGCTCTTTGAGTATCACCGATCCACCCTGCAGCCCTCACTGCAGTCCTCCATGACCTACCTCTATGAGGACAGCAATGTATGGCATGGCATCTCAGACTTCCTCATCTATAACAAGAGCCGCCCCTCCAATTAATGCAGCCCTGAGGTGTCTGGCTGTGGCTCAAGATGTGGCTCCATGCAGACCCTCCCAAAGGATCCTGCCTTCTCAAGATCATGGAGCTCAGACTCTAACCGGTGTTATCCAGGTTCCATTTGCTGAAGTAAAAACACTGATTTTCAAATCCCAGTGGGTACCTTTGTATGGTGGCACGAGTGGCTGAATCAGGCTGAGGAATCTAGGGCTTGGTTCCAGCTGCGCAGCTGACTTCTGTGAGACTGGGGCCAGCCACACCACTCTCTAGGCCTCAGGGGTCATAGAGCTCAGAGGAGGGCCCTGAGGTCTCTTTCTGGTGGGAATGTTCATTCTTCAACTGTTCTTATATCACAGAGGGCTCCTTGCTGGTGGGCAGTGGGTTGTAAATACTTTTTAAAAAACACTTAAGTTCCTCATCTCAGATGTTGTTCTATTGGAGAAGTTCTAGAGTCCCACTGTCCAATAGAAACATGTGAGCCATATATGTAATTAAAATGTTTCTAGTTACAAAAAAGTAGAAGGCTGGCTACTGTGGCTCACTCCTGTAATCCCAGAACTTTGGGAGGCCAAGGCGGGTGGATCACTTGAGCTCAGGAGCTTGAGACCAGTGTGGGCAACATGGTGAAACCCAGTTTTTACAAAAAATACAAAAAAATTAGCTGGGTTCTATCACCTGTGGTTCCAGCTGAGGTGGGAGGATCACTTGAGCCTGTGAGGTCAAGGCTACAGTGAGCAAAGATCACACCACTGCACTCCAGCCTGGGCGACAGTGACACCATGTCTCACCAAAAAAAAAAAGACTAATTTTTTTTTTTTTTTTTTTTTGAGACGGAGTCTTGCTCTGTTGCCCGAGCTGGAGTGCAGTGGCCAGATCTCAGATCACTGCAAGCTCCGCCTCCGGGTTCACGCCATTCTCCTGCCTCAGCCTCCCGAGTAGCTGGGACTACAGGCGCCCGCCACCTCGCCCGGCTAGTTTTTTGTATTTTTTTAGTAGAGACGGGGTTTCACCATGTTAGCTAGGATGGTCTTGATCTTGTGACCTCGTGATCCGCCCGTCTTGGCCTCCCAAAGTGCTGGGATTACAGGCTTGAGCCACCGCGCCCGGCCAAAAGACTAATCTTAACTATATACTTTAACACAAATTTCTAGAAGCTATTTCAACATATAATTAACATAATTAGATATTTTATACTCTTTTTTGTATTAAGTATTCAAAGTTGGGTGTATGTTTTGCCACCCACATTTTCAGGGCCTAGTAGCCACATGTGGCTAGTGGATGCTATGACAGCCAACACAGATATAGAACACTTGTATCCTCACAGAAGATTCTAGTGGACAGTGCAGATCTCGAGCTAGGGGACATGGGTTTGAGTCCCCACTCCCCCACTGTGTAACCTTGGGGAAGGTTCTGGACCTCTCAGAGCCTCAATTTATCATAAAATGAGGATAATCATAATGCCCTGGTCCTCACTGGACTTGTGCAACTACCACTGCTCCACTACTTCTAATTACTTTCATTTAGTGCATTCATACTCCCACTTGGGTGTTTTCCACATATTATTATTATTGTTATTATTATTTTAAGTAGTGACAGGGTCTCGCTCTGTCACCAGGGCTAGTCTCGACCTCCTAGCCTCAAGTAATCTTCCTGCCTCAGCCTCCCAAAGTGCTATGATTACAGGCATGAGCCACTGCCCCAGCCTGCACATATTTTTAAACCATACAGTGGCCTTGCAAATATGTGTTTTGGTCCCCATTTTACAGATGTAGAAACTGAGGGTCAGGCCGGGTGTGGTGACTCATGCCTATAATCCCAGCACTTTGGGAGGCTGAAGCAGGCAGATCACCTGAGGTCAGGAGTTCCTGACCAGCCTGGCCAACATGGTGAAACCCCATCTCTACTAAAAATACAAAAATTAGTCAGGCATGGTGGCACATCCCTGTAATCCCAGCTACTTGGGATGCTGAGGCAGGAGCATTGCTTGAACCTGGGAGGCAGAGGCTGCAGTGAGCTGAGATCATGCCACTGCACTCCAGCTTGGGGCACAGAGCGAGACTGTGTCAGAAAAGAAAAGAAAAAGGAAAGGAAAGGAAAGGAAAGGAAAAAGGAAAAGAAACTGAGAATCAGAAAGAGGAGTAACTTGCCCAAGGTGATATAACTAGTGTAACAGCCAAATCAAGATTTGAACTCAGATTCATCTGATTTCAAAGCCCATGTTTTTTTCAGTGCCTTGTTTCAAATTTAGAAACCTAAGCCATGCTATGCAAATGTTAGCTTATCATAGGATATGGGCCAGAAAGGGGTACAAATTCAAATGCCCACAGGGGCCTACAATGACATAGTGCTATGCAATGGGGAGTGATGGGGACATAGGGGAACTGGAGACTTGTGTGCCAGTCTGATTTTTTCTTTCTTTTTTTTTTTTGAGACTGAGTCTCGTTCTGTCACCCAGGCTGGAGTTCAGTGGCGCGATCTCGGCTTACTCCAAGCTCTGCCTCCCGGGTTTACCTACACTGTTCTCCTGCCTCAGCCTCCTGAGTAGCTGGGACTACAGGTGCCTGCCATCAAGCCCGGCTAATTTTTTGTATTTTTAGTAGAGACGGGGTTTTACTGTGTTAGCCAGGATGGTCTTGATCTCCTGATCTTGTGATCCGCGGGCCTCAGCCTCCCAAAGTGCTGGGATTACAGGCTTGAGCCACCGTGCCCGGCCAAGTCTGATTTTTTCAAAACCACGATCCTGGACCAGGCACAGTGGCTCACACCTGTAATCCCAGCACTTTGGGAGGCTGAGGCCGGAGGATCACCTGAGGTCAGGAGTTGGAGACCAGCCTGGCCAACGTGGTAAAACCCGATCTCTACTAAAAATACAAAAATTAGCTGGACATGGTGGCGGGCACCTGTAATCCCAGCTACTCGGGAGGCTGAGGTGGGAGAATCTCTTGGACCTGGGAGGCTGCTGTGAGCCGAGATCATGCCATCGCTCTTCAGCCTGGGTGACAGAGTAAGACTCTGTCTCGGAAAAAAAAAAAAAAAAAAACACACCAAAAAACCACACAATCCTGGACAAATCAAACAAGTCTCCAGGAAAATTTGGTCCATGGGCTACCAATTTGAGACCACTGGTCTGGGTAGATATACTTTTATTAATATACTTACTCCATCAGTCTTTTTCTATGTTTCAGAAGTTACTAGTAGAAATGTACACGGGAGTCACTGGAGACCTTATTAAAATGCAGCTTCTGATTCAGTGAGCTGGGGTGGGGCCTGAGAGTCTGCATTTCTCCCAGGCTCCCCCGGTGCTGCCAGTGATGCTGGTCTGAGTAACAAGGGGGTGGGGAATAATATGGAGCCATCCATTGTTATCCCATCTGACAAATGAGTCACAGAGCCCTAAGGTAATTGAGGTGGGATCAGTCTGATTCTGTAAGCTGTGTTTTCAGCCACAACATTTATTGCAAACTTGGAGCAGGTGATTTTGAAGCTCCTTTAACTTGCCGTAGAGGTTGAATGAGCTCTAGAGCAAGGAGTCCGCAACCCTGGTACTGGTCCATGGCCTGTTCTGAACCAGGCCGCACAGCAGGAGTTGAAAGGTGGGCGAGCCAGCGAAGCTTCATCTGTATTTACAGCCACTCCCCACTGCTCACATTACCACCTGAGTTCTGCCTTCTGTCAGATCAGTGGTGGTGTTAGATGCTCATAGGAGCGCAAACCCTATTGTGAACTGCACATGTGAGGGATCTAGGTTGTGCACTCCTTATGAGAATCTAATGCCTGATGATCTGTCACTGTCTCCCATCACCCCTGGCTGGGACCATCTAGTTGCTGGAAAACAAACTCAGGGCTCCTACTGATTCTACATTATGGCGAGTTCTATAACTATTTCATTATATATTACAAGGTAATAATAATAGAAATAAAGTCCACAGTAAATGCAATGTGCTTGAATCATCTTGAAACCATGTCCCCTCCCCACTGGTCCATGGAAAAATTGTCTTCCCCAAAACTGGTCTCTGGTGCCAGAACGGTTGGGGACCGCTGCTCTAGGGATTGGGGAGGGCAGAGGGCTTGGGCCATCACCAAGCAGGTTTATAGCAGATGGTGGGGGTGCCCTGCCTATAGCCCCTCTAACTGACCACTCTCGTGCACACCAGCCAGCTTTGCCAGTGGTTACGCCTCTGTCTTTCTGCCTGAGGACTCTAGCTTGTCACTGGTGCCTCCTTTGCCAGCCTTTGGCAGGCCTGGAGGACTGGGGAATGAACACATCCCTGGAGCAACCCTCAACCAATGACTGATAAGTAACCCCACTCCCACAGCCCGCAGCCCTCAGCCCTCGGGTGGCATACCTCAGAAGCGTGTGCTCCACACGGACTCCCAGCCAAGCAGGGCTGAGCCTCAAACACCCTCCCCATCTCCCTTCCTCATGCCCCTACGAGTGCTTCCTGGGACCACTTCCCATATGAACCACTTGCACTCAAATCCTTATCTTAGAGTCTGCTACTGGGGGAACCCAAACTAGAATTGGCCTCTGTACAGTAGGTTGAGAGGCAGTATAGCATGGTGGTCAGGGACATCGGCTTTGGAGCCAGAGTGCCTAGGCTCAAGCCCTGGCTCCACAGTTTCCTTGGGCAAGTGACTGAGCCATTCTGTGCCTCTGTTTCCTCATTGATAAAGTAGGCGTTGTAGCACACACCTCATCGAGTGGTCTGGAGGGTTAAAGACTATGACACAGTTAAAGTGAGTCCTCAATAAATGCTGTTATTTCCAATAGAGCATCCAAATGTAGAGGAAGGGTGCCCCTGAGGACTGCGCACACCCTGCTTTTAGCCTGTCCTGCCCCCAGCTGAAGGTGAAACCTTGGCCGCCTGCCCTCCTGAAGTCCCCCCACTGCTGCTGGGGGTTGGCCAGCTCCGCCACCGACTGTCTCTGCTCTCTAAGAATAGGTTTCCCTCCCAGATGGCATCTCTCTGGATGCTGCTAGAGCATCTGGTGCTTCCAACTGCACACTCCAGGGAGGAAGGCGGTGTGGTCCGCGCTGGGGAACAGGGCTTTGGCTTCCAGCAGATCTGAGAGGAGTCCCGTTTGGTTCCTTCCTAGCTGCGCTCCATTCTCTAAGACCTGTAAAACAGGGATGGCCAGAGGGCTCTTGTCACACAGTAAGCACTATGCTTCCTAAACTCTAGTTCCTGAAATAGAATGGTTTAACCTCTACTTACTAAACACCTGCTACAATCCTGTTAATTCTTTTGATGTGTAAGACTAAATATATATATATACACACACACACATATATATGTATATATATATTTTTTGAGACAAGAGTCTCACACTGTCGCCCAGGCTGAAGTGCAGTGGCATGATCTCAGCTCACTGCAAGCTTCTCCTCCCAGGTTCACACCATTCTCCTGCCTCAGCCTCCCGAGTAGCTGGGACTACAGACACCTGCCACCGTGCCTGGCTAATTTTTTGTATTTTTTTTCAGTAGAGATGGAGTTTCACCATGTTGGCCAGGATGGTCTCGATCTCCTGACCTCGTGATCCATCCGCCTCAGCCTCCCAAAGTGCTGGGATTACAGGTGTGAGCCACCATGCCCGACCTAAAAAATATATTTTTAAATCAATACTACACATAGTACAAAATTCAAAGTTATAAAAAATCTGTAGCCAGGCATAGTGGCTCATGCTATAATCCTAACACTTTGGGAGCCTGAAGCAGGCTTATTGCTAGAGCCCAGGAGTTCAAGACCAGCCTGGGCAACATAGGGAGACCCTGTCTCTATAAAAATT